TTGCAATTCATGCGAGTGCTTAGAAAAATTCGTTCATCTGGTTTAACAGGGGCAAAAAACGGACTTCTCAATACATCCTCCTGCCAACATGGGCAACTAGTGCACTCAACATATTACTCATTATTATATTTTACAGCGAAGCTGTATACCTCTACCCTGACATGGTTTTTTTCGTGTCGTTGTCAACAAAAAGCTCCAAGGTTATACAGCATAGAGCGCAGTATTCGTTCCAATAAAATTAAATTAAAAAATCACAAAACGAGCATTAAAATCTTATGATGGATGATATGGCACTTGTGAACTATGCAAAGCATGTGCATGCATTTCCCGGTAAAGATTACGGTTCCAGCTTCTATGGAAAGGGGTTGACGTCATTCGAAGCCCTCATGTGATTCATTATGCCAAGCAACTGGATACACCGGAATAGTGTGTGCAAAGTAAACAACAACTGTGCAGCAGGCGTTGCAATCTACGCAAGGGATGAAGCTTGTGTGCAGCCGTATGAACTCCAATATGACCAAGTCGACTGCGGGGATGTGTGTTCCATGAAAACTAGCGATGGAATCGTAATTTTCACGATCTACATCTAACCCAATACACCCAAATCTGACATCAAGTGCTTCATGCAAACGCACTTCTCCTCACTGTCCATGGATGCTACACCGGTGTGGACTGATTACCGGTGTGGACTGCCACACCGATAATCATTATCGGGGACTTTAATGTGGACATTTTGAAACCGCAACACAAGCGGTTCATTCAATTCGTCATGAAAGAGTTTGCACTCCTGTGCTTCATCGATGTAACTGAACCAACTACCATTCATGGATCATGCACCTATCTAACTTTAGCTAAAAATCTCTCTACAGTGAGGACGGAAAATTTTAGCGTGCATCACTCTGATCATAAAGCAGTTGTGAATGTCGTTACAAAGTAAATGAAGAGTGTGCGGCACGTCGCATTGGGTAAATCGTTGTAGGTGTCGTTACAGCTTCGCTGGACAACCACCTTCGCAAAATAAAATGGCTTTTTTTTTTTTTTTTTTTTTTTTTTTTTTTTACTTTTTTTATTTTATGTTTTTTTTATTTTTATTTTACTCAAATAAATAATCCTAAATATTTTTAATCGTAACGTACCTGCATCTTGCTGAAAGTGCCAGTGAAGTCGCAGGTTTACCTTTGTCTGCCGGACATACAACAGTCATGAATAGAAGTGTAAACAAGCTTGGTGGCTCAAACATCTCTACTTCACTGCAAACTTAGGTATAAACAATGGCATATAATTTCCACCAGTTGCACCTACTTTTCTACCCCTTTCTGTGAAAAAAAAAAAAAAAAAAATGTAGCAGCGAATACAGATTTTCGGCCAACTTTTGTGTAAAAAGTTCAGCTAAAGCTCATAGAACTTGTCATTTTAAAGGGCAAAAGAGGATTATTGGCTAAATTAATAAAAAAAAACGAGCAATGCGGGTATTGTTTTAATTAATAAAATACTTGAAGTTGAGCCCAATATCTGAATAAAGCACATAAAAAGATATATGGTCATAAAATACACGGAATCAAAAGATAATCTCGTCCGTAGCATTGGGCAAAAATGCTGGCGTGAAAGGTGCACTTTGCAGTGATGTAACATTGAAGAAAACAAAAAGATCCAACATGTTTTTCATGAATAAACATAAGAGTATGGTGGAGAACTATAACTATAAATTTCAGAAAATCAAAGATTTTTTTTTTAATTCCTTCTTCAGATTTCTTCACTTTGTAATTTAGAACAAGTTTGAAGTGACATAAAAATTTCAATCTTGGAGACAAAGCAATTATTTATATATCATTCGAAAGAATGTTTTAATAACAATATTACATGAATTTTAATATTGTAGCTATTCAATTTTTCTAGATAATGGCTCAGAAATAATGACAATCTGTCGAAGGAGCCATGTTTGTGCATTTTGGATGCGAGATATATAACCTACACAATGCTATACATTATCACTCAATAGTTCCCATGAACTATTACAACATCAAAATATTTTAGATTTCTAATACTTGTAGTGCGCGTAGTAGGTGTCACCAAACATGACATAAACAAAAACTTCAAAAATCTAATATGCTGTTCTGGCACTTAAAACTTTTTACTCTTTAAATATTATATTTTTTGCAAAATAATTTTTCATTAGTTTCCCTACAGATGTTGACGAGTAACGTATAAAAATATTAACAAAAAAAAAATATGTCAGAACTCGCGTGCATGATCTCACCTGAACAGAGCCGGATATATTTGAATGTCGGTTTTGGCATCATTTTCACTTGCAAAGTTCGCAACAACTATTCTGAATTTCTTGATACTAAATAGCATACCGCGAAGAATAAAGGCCGGTGATTCAGGAAATATAGTTAGTTTTGGTAGCTCAGAAAATCGCCAGAGCATGTCTTCAAATCCCCAAGCTAGTGTTGTCACACTGACGTTAGCAGACGGCATTTAGAAAATGGCACCGGCTACAGCTGGTTTCAGATTAGGCGTTCGTGTGTTCATCTATCAAACTGCTGGATTTTCCTTGGGGTTATTTTTAATACAGACATCAAGCAATGGCAACAAGTGTATATGGAAAAGCATTTCAAAAGGGATCAAATATATCTTGTGGTATTTGAATTTTGATTTCTAATACTTTTTAAACTGCAATTGCATCTGTAAATAAATACTTCTTTTTTCAATGCATTTTTTAAAGTATTTTCCTCTTCCCTGGTTGGAAGGCAGGTGTAACCATTGGGAATTTAGCTGCAATATTAGAAAGTCCAAGCACGTGCATTTTTTTTTTTTTTTTTTCGGATTATAGCTTTCTTGGCTGTTCTTGAACTAAAAAACGACAAACTTGAGCATGTACAAAAATATAAGTATCTAGGAGTCTATCTTTTGTCCTGTTTAAAACGAAATGATAACAAAGAAAACACTGTGGTGAAGGCTAGTAAAATGTTGCAAACACCGTAGCACTATTAGTCTATCATGACATAGTGCTAAGCAAAATGAAAAATTTGTTAAAATTTTGTTTAAAGGTAATTTGAAAGGCAAATCACATCACCATTTCAAAAGTAATAAGGATTCAAAGTGACATAAACGAAAAGTATGAATGGGAAAAAGATTCAAACAGAATTCCCAAAAGGCCAGTGGTAAAAGTGGATATGCTTTATGCTGGGCAACTCTGCCATAAAAGCAAATATATTCCGAGTGACCGACAGTTCTGTCAATAGCCTTATCGAACAGATGTAGCACTTGGCTGTTATCCTTTTTATTTACTGTAAAGTTCCGAGAGAACACCCGTCCAGAAGAGAATGCCCATACCGTTTATCTAGCCAAATATCTGTAACATAAAAATCATGAAACATTGCCCGCCCGCCCCACTCGCGTCGGAAGTCACGCGAGGTTTGACGGGAATCACATCACCCGTGCAATTTGCTGTACCAGCACGTGTGACAAGTGAGTTCATAGCGGGTTCCCGCGTTTTTTTCCGCGATATTGGCTCTCGTAATACGCGAGTTGTTCTCGAATGTATGTTGCACCGTGATTTGTGAATCTGCTGTGTACGTAATCTGCGGTATCAGTTCCCATGACATAAGATTTGTAGCGGATTCCCGCGTTTTTGTCCGCGATATGCGCATGCGATCTCGATTCTATGCAAGTTGGTCCCGCGTGTATATTGCATCGTGAAATATGATTCTGCTGAAATCGCGATCTGCGGTATTTGTTCCCGTAACATACGAGTTTGTTGTAGATTTCTGCATTTTTGTCCATGATCTGCGCGCGCGATATCGGTTCCCGTGACAGACAAGTTTGTTGCGGGTTCCCACATGCTTATAGCACCATGAAACTTGAATCCGCTGCACCTGCGATTTGTGGTATTCGTTCCTGTGAGATTCGAGTTCTCGGCGGGTTTCAGCGGGTCCTTCGCATTGTGAAAGGTGAATCTGCTGCGTCCGCAATGTGCGCTACCCTTTCCCGCGTGTTTATGGCATTGTAAAACGCGAATTTGAAGTCCGCGATTTGCGATATCAGTTACTGCGTCGTGTGGTTTGTAGACTGTGCCACAGTGTTTATCATTAATTTTTTATAAAGCTTTGCTCTGGCGTCTCAAAGATAGCCCACCCGGTGTTTTTCACCATATATCTCTTCATTTTGGGTGGGCGTTCTTTCGGAACATCATGGTAATCTCCCGTCCTTCTCCAGTAGTAACTTTATGACCTACCTCTAATCCACCCAAATCCTGCTTGTTAAGCTCATATTTCAGTCCTCTTCACCAACATAATCTATACATTCTATGATTAAGACTAGCTGTGGTTATGAGACTGTAATTTAAATAATCCACAATTTCAAAGATCTGCGATTTTGGTAATCTCTAATTCAGAGTTGATACAAAATTAGAAACTGCAGAGTCAAAATTGGAAACGTGACATAATCTAAAACTTGCGCTTTATGAAGCTGCTTCTAAGAGGCTCAAAGTGAACCGCCGCCGCTAGGAACGTCTAACCGTCGATTTCTCACGTTTCTTTGTAGAAGCCAACACAACTCGAAGCCAGCAGTGTGCACATGTGCTACACTACCGGCTTCAACACCGGTAGGGCGCGCACACGTGCGACGTCGGCCGCCGTAGCCTGTTCAAGCGCCAGATGCTCGCAATCGTGAGCAAAATGCAATCAAGGACGGTTCTGCATCTCCATAAACAAGGCAATACGTCGCTGACAGGACAAGAATGGCGGGGCGTCCCTCTCAGATGCCCGGCCTTCAGCAAGTGCTCGTCGCTTCTTGAAGGCCGGGCTTTAGCAAGAGAGGAGGCAGCTCGTGCTAGAGGCGGAACGACTGAAATACCTCCCTGCCATTCTCATTCTGTTATACTTCGTCCTTTGACGTGCTGATCAGCTCACTGGGACCGCAGTCTTCACCATCTGCCAAGCTATGGTAAGACGGAGTATGGCGACCACGGCGAGAATCCGGGGAGGCTGTACACTCACGGTGGACGGGTGGGCTGCGTGGGGTGCGGCACGGCGTTCTGGAGGTCGTCGAGGAGGTACTCCATGGTGGGCTCCATCTCGTACGAGCGTGGCGACGATGGCGGCCGGTATCGGACCGGAGACGTCGGGGACAGCGACCGCTGGCCATTGGGCACGTGGGACGTCACCTCGTGCGTCACCTCCACCACTGCACATGGAACAAAGAAGCATCTCCATCTCAATTATGCCACCCTTAAAGGCCCGGTTAGGGCAATAACGTAAGAGGGAGAGGGAGAAGGACAATGTGTTAAATTGGTGGTCCTCAAATAGGGGTCCGCCAACACTTTAGGGTCCCCGAGGGCCCTTTTATGGTCTCCAAAGCCATAGACTGTTGGTCAAGCTGAGCACAAAAACTTTTTTTATCGATGCTGGCTGTCCCACAAAGCTAAATAGAGCAAACCATGTGTACTGAGCAAGTGGGATAGGTTATTCTTCGTTTCAGAATCACAAATGTTTTGCACGCATTTAGTTTTCTTCATTTACCCTTCTGTATGCGTAATCATCCAATAACCACCCTCCCTTCTGGAGGCAGCGTCCTCCATTACTTCTGTCGATCCAAAAGGGGTCCTAAGACATAAGTGCATGAGGACCACTGTATTGAAAAATAGAATAGGCAGTACAGTAATAAAAGATACAAAAATAAACAGCATGTGCTCAATCTAAATGGACTACAGTCGAATTTCGTTAATTCAAACTTGAGGGAGACCGAAAATTTGTTTGAATGAAGCAAAGTTTGAATTACCGGGAGTTTCCTTCCATAGAGATGCATAGGATGGGAGCTGCATGTCAGTTTGAAATATCCGCAAGTTTTAATTAAAGAGATTCAAATGGAGTAGAAGATTATAAAACACTGCTGCATTAGTGACGGTAACAATGAAGGATGGCAGCTGAATACATGCAGTGATGACATGAGGAAGGAATGATTCGTTAAAAGCACGAGTTTTACCGGAGATTCGTTTAATTGGATGAGAGTGACTCAGACAAAATGATATTCTATCGGGGGTGATATTGAGCGATATTCTATCCGTCAAAACAGAGGGGCACCTCCGTCGAGCCGGGGTCCACAACATTCAACAACATGATAATTTCAATTACTGACCCTGTGGATTTCAAAAACACAATTCTAGCTTATTTTGCCGCGTAAAATCAGACTTGCACCGTTTTGTGTTCTTCCCAACTTTCAATTTTATCATGAGAGTGCATTCTATTTTCATTATCATTCATTGTTTCTTTCATTTTATTGCATAATTTATTGTATTGCCCTCTCCTTAAGTGATGCTCTTGAAAGAGAGCCCTCAAGGATAAAATAAATTAATTGAATACCAATCCAAAGTCACGGGCTATTTTGACAAGATTCTCTCGCTGTTATGAAGAGGAAAAAAATTTCTAGAGCCATTAATAACAATGGCGAAGGGGTTTCACTCAAAAGACTCCTTGCAGCTCGCTCACAAAGAATAAGAACCGTATTTGGTCCCTTCGTTGGTGTTAGTGTAATTCTGTACTTGTTGATAAAACTAATACTTTGGGCACAGTGAGGTCATATTTAAAGCTTCTGAACACACACACAAATTGTAGCAAGTTCATAAAATGAAACCAAGATAAATTCTGTAATTCCTTGTATTGCGAGTGTTATTTCTTAGAACCTATTTCACAGTACAGTGGACAGCTGACTCCAATGATGCAAAAACACACTAGCACCCCCCGGTTCCCCTAGTAGGTGAGACAAATAAATTTAAGCGACGTGCCGTTGACAAAGCCATAGAATCTGCTTGGCATCTTCAAAAAATATTCCAACCGACGTGCGTGATGGGAAGACCTACGTCAGTATTTATCACAAAAAACCAAGTCACAAAGCATGCACACTTAGTGTCTTCATTGGTGGGATTATTCCTTTAAAAATTGGAAAAAGCGAAATTAAAAAAAAAAAATTAAATAATTAACACCAATGTGAGCATTCAAATATCTCAGTTTGATTTAGTGGCGTTTGAATTATTGCTGAATCGTCCGTACCTGCCCATATACCCTGCACGATTATACAGGCGTTAGCCGTTCATGCATGCACAAAATTGATTACAAAGGAGCAGATAAAAATATATTTAGAACAAAACAAACTACACTCACAATTGCCTACACCAAGGGACGTGACACTTTAAACATCTACAGCATTCTTGAAATAGCTGTGTTACTTCATAACAACCGAAGAAAAAAAAAAGCTGTTATGCCAGAGGCCCAAAATACCGAACAGGCGTAACAGAGCACAGTCAACACACGGAGGCCGATCAAGGTCGGAATTTCACAACTGAGCTTTTCCTTATTGCAAGAAGCGTTCTTCACGCACCGAGACACCCCCTCCCGTAGGTCGATGCCAATGCCGCATTGGAACAATAAACAGAGCATGCGCCTGACATCTCCTGCCAAAGTTATTCTGAGCCTAAGTACATCAGCTCTGTGGAAGCCTCTCAAAAGGAGCATGGCGAGGCTGACGCGCAATTTCCACCTCTCGGAAGAGGAGAGGTTCAAGATCTGTATGTTTAGGCGGGCTCCTTAAACTTCAAAGCTGCGTTTGTCAAGGAACAGGACCCCTCGGTGTGAAGCAGCCATAGAGGAAAGAGGATATGAGCGAGAAAAGAACAAAAACGCCTAGAAATATTATTTATGGTAACGTGTCAGATATAAGACCCAAAAGTGTACTAGCAGTACTCAAATTTAACAACTTGCGGCTGTGCGTTAGAGTAGAAGATGATCGTGGATGGCACCAGGTGAAAGGGCGGGCTAGGTATATTTATCTCCCACCCTTCGTCTATAAATAAGATTTCACTTTTTAGTCATTTTTTCTTGCAAAATTCTGGAGTTTGATTTTTTAAGTTTCTACAGGTTTGGGAGGTTTTTGGATGCCCCACTTGACAGATCTCCAAAATTCTAACGAGAATTTTTTTTTTTTTTTTAATTGCAATAAAGACGTGAAAGAAGACTGAACATTTATGACATTGACTGATTATCCCACTGGGCTTTTGGATTGTTTAGCTCTGGAAGTGTTTTCTCATGTTTTGGCAATCTCCTCTTATAATAAAGAAAATTCACAGTTTTAGATTATTTATTCAGAAAAATTGTGTTTGTATCTACAGCTGTCTCAAGATAAACGATAAGCAGAAATGTAAAAATAAAAGATGTAAAAAAAAAATAATCATATTCAAGGATTTTTTTTTAGAAAAATATGTCGGACCCCCTTTCAGAAATGACTAACCTGGTGACAATTCAAACCAAAACTCAATGAGAAACAAATAACAGGCAATAACTTTAACGACTCCAAGTGACCAACATGACAAGTCAAGAGAAATTTCGATTCTTTCAAAATTTTAATCCAAACAATGAAGTTGGGAGTTATGATTTTCGAAGGTGAACCTCAATGTAGCAGAATCCTAAGCGCATTCCACCACAAACACGACATTGGCACTTGTCCATTCTACTCATATAAATTAGTATTGAACACAAAATTTACCCACTTATACGTAACTGGAATAGGAAAGCACATTCTCCTGCACGGTGATAATCACAGCTTCTCAGCTGTGGGAAAAAAAAAAAGAAACTGGCAATTGCTTTTTTGTGCTGGACCATACTCTATACCCACTTATGCAAATAGCCAGCAGCTTCCCTTTCAGAGAGACCATCCCTCATTTCAAAGTTTTGTCTACATTCAGCAAAATAGAGGAGTTGAAGTCACTCCGGGTGCAGTGCAGTTAGACTCCGACATGACTGGACAACATACTTAATTCAAATTAACTTCGTGCAGCAATTCAAAAGGAGTCAGAAGAAGAATTTAGAATAATTAAGAAGTGTGTGTATGCATAGTTTCTTAGTGTGTTACCTCAGAAAGTTGTCCCTGAGTGTAGTACTATGTGTTTGGGACCAAATTTCGGTATTCTCAAAAGCTATGAGGAGTGTAAATTATTTCTGTTTACACTTACTGTTTGCTGGAAATTTATTAGTGCTAGCAGTTACAATAATGAAAGCACTTTTAATAAAATACAAAAGGTGCTTATTTACTCCAAATCTTCTGGCTAAACAACTGTCCAAACTGCTGTTTTACAGGATCTTTGGCAGAAATAAAACTTTAAAATTATCAGTAAATAGGCCCACAGACCATGCAGTGTTCACTATAGACTAACAATTTTTTCACAATGTTCACAAAATTCAAGCTATTGCAAGAGACATTCTCTTCTTCACTTGTCTCTGTCCCTTCTACTTTTAAGTTTCTGTTCCTACCCCAGTCTCGGGTTAAGTTCCATCATGGTAAATGTCCACCAGCTCGCCTGTACTTTAACCGTTTTTGCAAGACATGAGTTGTTTGCAGCATTTAAGGCAGAATTTTCAATTAAAGGTCAAGTAGACAAATAAATTTGTTTTAATATCACAGAGCTCTATATGCTATATGCCATATCTTATTTACAGCCTAGGTGACTCAACAAATAACTAAAGCACTAAAACAATCTCTCTCTACTTGAGCTATGCCAGAGCAAATTGGCTCGATGAGACTAATTGCTGTCTGCACTCCAGCGTGACATTGCAAAACAAAAGAAGCAACAGACTTGACCCCAATGAGATGGGGTCGGTCTACCAATTAGTACAGAGAGCTAACCGTACAACCAAATAGGAAAATTAAACCGAGACGAAGTTATAGGCACACTGAGAGAGTGCAAACTGAAACTGCTCTGCACATCCTGATAAACTTGAGACCCGACACGCAAAAATAAATTCTTCCCAGCAGAAAATTTTTATCTTTTCTTTAGTTCCACCTCCCATTTCCTTCTCACTTCTTTACATCCTTCTCATGTGCTAAGCGTCCAAGCGGTTAATAACCCCCCAAACCTGAACAACAGGGATTGGTCACACTGGCGGGGAACAAGCACTGAAAGGGGCTGTTGCTATCGCTTGAATCGGACAATGTGGATCACTCTTCAGGCTATTCTGCGACGGGCTCACGTGTTTCCTTTCGGCAAGGACCATACTCCATTCAGCCCCGAGATGACAGTACAGTGGAAGCTACGTGCTCGTCAGACCAGTCCTATGTCTATCTTTAGCCCCATGACTACGGCCCCGCCAACAAACACACGCAGAGAGCGAAGTCAGGTGATGAAAGGGAAGCTGCTG